CCATCCAGAACAAACGTCGGAGAAAACCATCAATTAGCGAGATAGTGGCCGAGAAAGATGGACAAGTGATCCATTCTCAGCCTCGTCGACTAACATTTTGAAGAGCAGTTCAGCAGGCCTGTTGCGACACTGCCGCTTGCCGAATTACCAGAACCGATGTGGGAAGTAGATGTCACATCTCCCACTTTGGTGGAGATTCGTCGTGTCAAAAATAAACAAGACTCCTGGACCCCACAGACTTCCTCCATCTTTGCCGAAAGATGGTGACTCTTTGTTCAGTGGACGCTTCTCTAATAAACACGATTTGGAACATTGACGAAGTGCATTCAAACTGGCGAGTGTCAATTGTGGTGCCCATCTGCAAGAATGGTCACCCCAATTTGTGTAAAAATCATCGACGCATTAGCATTAATTCCATTGTCCAAAACTTCTCACGGGTGTCATTCGCCAACGGCTTACTGTCCCTCGGAATAACCGAATCACCGAAAGTCAAATTGGCCTCCGCCCTGGTCGTGGTTGCATCGACCACTTGTTTACACTTGCAGATGACCGACCATATTGGTTTTCCTTTACTTGAAAGCTGTCTTCGACTCTGTTGACCGCGTCAGTTTGTGGCACTGCTTATCCATGAAGGTCATGTCGGCTAAACTTCTTTCCAGTATGCAGTCTCCCTACCGTGACTCCCGAGGCCGTGTAAGGGTCTAAGGGAAAATGCCTCCTGATTTCCCAACAACAAGTGGGTTTCGCCAAGGTTGTCATATATCTTACTCTTCAACTTTGTGATTACAGATTACTGTTTGGAAGCATCAAGAAGAGGAATCTATGTGTAGCTGCATCTTATGTCACTCAGGGACAAAGACCCGTTAGGTTGGGGTGCGCTCCACATAGTTTATATCGGCAAAGTGTTTGTCCAGGAACTTCTTAAATTCCGACACCGACTTTGCCTCTACTGCGTACTGTGGCAAGTGGTTCCATACATTCACCACTTTGCGTTCGAAACAGAGTTGGTGATTGACCCGTTTCAAATCCGGTACAACAAGCTTATACCGGTGTCCTCGCGTGCAGCTTTGTGTGCGCAGATGAAGTTTGTCTCAACATGGGGTAATCACCCAGATGTAATATCCGGTGCGTTATGATGAGGTTAACCCGCAGTCGACGATAAGCTAGGGTGTAAAGCCCCAGTTTCTCACACCGGCCTTCGTACGGCACACTAAGTAAGTTGGGAATCAGCCTGGTGGCTACATGCTGCACTCGCTCAAGCTTTTGTACCTCACCCCGGGTGATAGGACAATACGCGGGAGAGCCATACTCTGGCATTGGTTGTATTATTGAGACGAAGAGGCGAGTGGCAATCTCTTCGGACCAAGTGCTGTAGCTGCGTCTGAGCGTCCAAAGCATACGAAGGCTGCTTTGGTAAAGCTTATTCGTGTTGTCCATGAACTTTAGGTCATAGCGTGAGAGTACACCGAGGTCTCGCACGAAAGGCGCGGGATGTATCGGTTGACCGGCCATAGTGTAGGTTCGACTGTGTTCACACTTACCCAGCCTCATGAAATGCGACTTGACCTGGTTGATCGGAAGGTTGACCTCTACAGACCACGTGGAGAGGCGGTCGATGTCCTGCTGAAACTGGTCACAGTCATTGGGTGTGCGGATTACTCTTCACACCTTCAAGTCATCTGCGAACAACGTCCAAGGTGATTGGAGTAGCTGAGGCACATCGTTTACATGGATCAGAAACAAAATCGGCCCCAGTACAGTGCCTTGGAGCACGCCACTGCTCGATGGATACCAGTCAGTCAAATAGTTATCGACCTGGAACCTCCACTTTCGATCAAGAAGGAAATGCTTGATCCATCGATGCAGCGAGCCGCCAACACCGCACACCCTCAGCCTGTCGAGGAGCACTGCATGATTTACCTTGTCAAAAGCCTTACTGAAGTCAATGTAGATGACGTCGACCGACTTGCCTTGGTTCAGCGCTTGTAACCATTCGTGCCTCGTCAACAGTATGTTGGTGATGCAGGAGCGACCTTTCACGAAACCATGCTGTGCAGGCGTCAAGAGGCTCATCGATTCGAGAAGCTGCAGAAGACATTTCTTCACGATCTTCTCGAACGTCTTTGCCAAAACAGCGGTCAGGCAGATCGGCCGGGTAGTTATGCACTTTGCTGAGGTTACCACCTTTCCGTATTGGCTTTACGATTGAGCATTTCCAGTCGCTCGGTAGTAATTTAGTGACCGAACTGATCATGAATAGCTGTGTTCTTTCAGACTATACCGGAATGGAAGCTGTCAGGCGACCGACTGACAAACCTTGAGTATGCGGACGACATAGTTCTCCTTGGGTCTGATGCATTGGCTATGCAAACACTACTGCACAGACTTGTGCGTAATGCTGCACGCTTCGACATGCGCTTTGCAACTTCAAAGTGCAAAGTACTGTTGCAGGACTGGAGAAGCACCCCAGCGGTTTTAGCTATCACCGAACAGCCACTAGAAGCAGTGGATCGGTTCACTTTACTTGGTAGCTGTGTCACCTCTGTTAGTCACATCACTGATGAGGTTACTTCTAGTATCAGCAAGACCCGTGTGGCTTTCCAGAAACTCAACCATCTATGGAGACGGCGGGATATCAGCAGGTCAGTGAAAGGTAGGGTATATAATGCTGCGGTAAATCCGGTCTTGATGAATCAGAGACCTAATCAGTTCGCGGCAAAGACATCAAACGATTATGCGTGTCTGACCACCGGTGCTCGCGGAGTATTGCTCACGTCTAATGGGAACACCGGGCGAACAATGCTGAAGTCTGTCAATTGGTTTCCAGCAAGAAGCCATCAGGTGCCCCACTCGAGTGTTGGTTGAATCTTAATCGCTTACGTGAATTAAGCCATGTCCTCCGTATACCCGTTGACCGCCTTCCTCGGCGTGCATGATACACCGTGGCTGCTATAAGTTGGGCGAAAGTTCGAGTTGGCCAGGCCATGACGTGGCACAGAGGCATGAAGTAATTGACCGAGAGACTTGGTCAGGCTGATGCATGCCGTCTTCGTGGATGGGGGTCTCGGGATGGTCCACACCAATGGTTAGAGACCCTTTCACACATGGAACAGTCACAAAGTTAGTGGCGTTCCTGCATTCGTTTCTTTTGCAACTGGTTGTTAATTATCGTTCTATTTTGATTAGGCTAAGGCATCTCCTTGCTTTCAGTTCCCGTACACTCGTATTGCAATAAACTTGATTTTCTTACCGCCGTTGTTTATTTTTATTCTTGCGATGTGAATCGTGGCAACTAGATCCACCGCACTTCGGTGCTTGTGTGTCACACAGGAAAGCGTCATAGGGTCACTATTGTAGTTATCAAGGGGAACCAGTGCGTTTGGCACAGGTGCTCGCGAATGTGCATTCCTTCGCACAGATGACGTCAGAGTTAGCTAGATCTCTTATGCGAAAACGGAAACTGACTAGACGCGTTTGGTTGTTAGAAGCCTCATGATGATCCGCGTTGATGCCACTCCAATTCACGCGATAAACACCGATGCGTATCGACATGGAGTTGTACCCAAGTAAGTAGTGAACTCGCACCTGCATATTTTGTGGTACTTATTGCTCTACGTGTACGACTGATAACTCCACCGCAAGGTAGGAATGATTTTTCACGTTTTATGGACAAATGTGACCGCGCCGATTTCTCCTGCGTTGTTGCGGCAAGAAAATACTCCATTAAGAGAAATTATTTCACAGCGGGCATCATCTAATGTTGTCGAGAAATACACACTGTTAGCATACGACAACAAAGCACAATCAATCCAACTCTTAAAGGCCGAAGTATTCTCGCTAAGCTGTAAAAGGTGTCGAATAGCATTCGCGTACAGGTTGAAGCAACCACCGCCGCAGCGTCGGTGGTGTTACGCCATTTTGGTGTCGGCTGAGGATATCACCGGTCAACACAAGCACCCTGTCGCAACTCAAATGCAAACTGCGCCTAGCGTTTTAAGTAGAAAACATGGCGACTTTTAACATATTAGTCTTCGGTATCGTTGGGGCTAGTGTTGAAAAGCATCATGATAGGCCGTTGGCCAAAAGTGAAGACCTGGTTTGTAATTCAGAATCCACCGGTTCGAATCCGCGTGGGTATGGGGCGACCTCGCGGCATACTCACCCCTCACGCGACTGGTGGTAGTCACTTGGCAGCGAGGCGTCGGTACGGCGTGTTCGTGTACTGCTGATGTTTTCACGATAGGTTGATCAAGCGGCCCTAAATGACTCACATTATGGAGATCAGTAGGTAGCTGAGAGAAACTCACGAATGCATGTTCGGACCCAGTAGTGTTTCGTCCCTATGCTTTGATCAGTCAACAGGGGATTGGTGCATGGTAGTTTCCCATTTCGATGCATTGTTGTCAAAACTCATTGATGCAATCACTGTGCCCATCTGTGAGAGGTGGTGTGAGATACACGATGGGCGCTATCGCAAAGATGCGAGGAAGTCCGAGTCCTATGCATGCTTATGGTAGAGTATCCATGGGTCATAGCTGCTTTCTCGGTTCGTTCGGACCACCTCATGAACAATCACATAGGTACCTAATGAGTCCCCTTCAACCAACGAGGCGAATGCGTGAATGTTCTAATAGAGACAGATAACGTAGCGGCTATGAGACTGTGCACACTGAGCACGTGAGTGGCAGTAAAAGTACGAGGTCTCATCAGGTGCTAAAAGATAGGTGATAACTACCGAAACAAATGCTTAGTTCTTACACCAAAGGGCTTTATAACGAGACCAGCTTGGGTGTCATACATTGTGGCTTGCTAATGAAAATGAGCAAAAATTACATTTTATGATGGAACTAGAAGTAGACGAATGAGGTTTGCTGCGCGATGTGGAGATGGCAAGGTGGACCAGAAATGCAATACACTGTCGGTTTCCTATGCGGGGATGAAAATCGGCATGAAACAAGGGCTGTGTAGAAAGAGTGAGTTAACTCCTTGAAGCCACTTACTCGAAGGCCGACAAGCGGGGCCGGAGCCGGATCCGTAAAGCACATGTTGAATCGTCGAATCGGAGGAATGCCCATGAGGATTGCGCTCACGAAAACGGGTCACCGGGTCGTAAACGCGAGGTGTAGAATCGTCAACCGAAACCAGCCGTTCATCCAAGCTCGGGGTGGCCATGCTCGTAACCTGATTTAATGATAGCAGTGTAGATTATTATCTGACTAGGGGAAGTGGTAGTGGACAGAAGCAAAAGCTATATATATATATACATATATATATATATATATATATATATATAGTGGAAGATGACCTCCACGCTGTAATCTTCAGCTAAATCCCGTATGAGCGAGTAGAGTACGGTGTGATAAACATTCACATGACCGAGCCATCTTAACTGCTGCAGGAAAGAAAGAAAATCGCGCATTCCCAGAGACGTAAAGCGTGAATAAATCATTCTGAACTCGGTGTTGTCACCAGATATAACTCATTTTCCTTAAACATCCCCGTCAAAGACGAGAAGCAGGAGGAAGTCAACTATGCAAACTAGTGTAGA